TTCCTTACCTTGTTAGTAGGTTACAGACAGGGATAAGGTTGGCTACTTATTTTACTTTTAATTTCATTTACATTTGTTTAAGCAGCGTTTATATTTTCTTTATAAATAAATTAACTTGCAAATTATGAGGGCAGGGCTTTTAAAGTTTAAATCTTCTGGCAAAGATAAAGAAAAGAAGATCCTGCAATTTATGGAAGTAAAGCAGAACAAAATCCAGCAAGATCAGTAATATGTCAATTAATTATCTGCCACATTCCCATGTAAATATCTGTCTTTGGAGGATGTGTTTTTTTACCACCCCTAGTTCTCTCATTTTTATTCCAAATACAATTTATAATTTGAATCACAGGGCTATTTTTATCTCTATGGTTCAGTATTTTCTCAAGCAGCAACTTTAACTGCTATACTTTCCTGTCTTAAAAGGCAGAACTCTTCTAGTCTAAAAAAAACTAATTTCTTGAAATGGGGGGACCTATTGTTGAACCCCTTAGGGGCTTTAAAAAACAAAAATGCCTGTCTCTTTTTGCGCTGTATGAACCAAAGTAGCCTATATTTTGTGGATGTACAGCTACATTTCTCATGTAAGTTTGCGTAGTTTTTACACAAACATTTATTTTTCATATTGCACCAGTACAGTTAATGAGCAACCTGTACTTGTGTGCTTGTTTGTTCTGTCTAAAATGTTTATTTTGGAATAAAGAGGTTAATATAAAAATTTTTTTTTTGTCCGATTCATCGATTAATCGAAAAAATAATCGGCCGATTCATCGATTTTTAAAATAATCGTTAGTTGCAGCCCTAATATATATATATATATATATTTTTTTTTTTATTATTATTTATTTTAGGGCTGCAACAACGAATCGAGAAAATCAATAAAAATCGACTTTTAAAAGCGTTGGCAACGAATTTAATCATCGATTAGTTGTGTCGCGCGATTAATGCGTCATCCGCCGCCGCCGTCATCCCGGGGAAGAAAAAAAAATATGGCGGAGCGAGTCAGCGCCGCAGTTGCAGTGTTGCCAACTCAGCGACTTTTCAGACCCCTCCAGCGACTATTTTTTTAAAAAGCGACTAGCGACAAATCTGGCGACTTTTTACGGTGTCACTGGCGGCTTTTGGAGACTCTTACGTGAAAGCATGTATCGTTCCTACTCTTGTCCTCCAGCGGCAGCTGCTGCCGTGGGGCGCCTCCCCCATCCCAACGCCTTTCTCCCTCTCCCACAGGAATCCCTCTCAGCGGGGCAGTCAGAGCCGCAGGATTTTAGTGAGGAGTTTACCCTCAGCGTCCAGACTGCAAATGAAGCGCGCATGCCCCGGGATTGACGGCGCAAATTGATCACAATAATTAAAATAGCCTGCGCTTTGTAAAGTGAAAAAAGTCGTAACATGCGACTTTTGTAAAAACAAATAAACATGGCACGGAAGCACCACTGTTATGACGCAGCACCTGAAAAGAAAACATGTTGGAGCCTTCAATGGCAGTGAAGATAGCTGATCAGAAGGATGAGTAACCATGTTTGTTTCATTTTAAAGTGGGGAAACGTAAGTTAGTTTCTCAGGTAGCTCATCTGATGCTTTCCTTACCGTGTTAGTAGGTTACAGACAGTGATAAGGTTGGCTACTTATTTTACTTTTAATTTCATTTGAATTAGCTTAAGCAGCGTTTATATTTTCTTTATAAATAAATTAATTTGCAAATTATGATGGCAAGGCTTTTAAGTTTAAATCTTCTGGCAAAGATAAAGTAAAGAAGATCCTGCAATTTATGGAAGTAAAGCAGAATAAAATCCAGCAAGATCAGTAATATGTCAATTAATTATCTGCCACATTCCCATGGAAATATCTGTCTTTGGAGGATGTGTTTTTTACCACCCCTAGTTCTCTCATTTTTATTCCAAATACAATTTATAATTTGAATCACAGGGCTATTTTTATCTCTATGGTTCAGTATTTTCTCAAGTAGCAACTTTAACTGCTATACTTTCCTGTCTTAAAAGGCAGAACTCTTCTAGTCTAAAAAAACCTCATTTGTTGAAATGGGGGGGCCTATTGTTTGAACCCCTTAGGGGCTTTAAAAAACAAAAATGCCTGTCTCTTTTTGCGCTTTATGAAACAAAGTACCCTATATTTTGTGGATGTACAGCTACATTTCTCATGTAAGTTTGCGTAGTTTTAAAACAAACATTTATTTTTCATATTGCACCAGTACAGTTAATGAGAAACCTGTACTTGTGTGCTTGTTTGTTCTGTCTAAAATGTTTATTTTGGAATAAAGAGGTTAATATAAAAAAAATATTTTGTGTCCGATTCATCGATTAATCGAAAAAATAATCGGCCGATTCATCGATTTTCAAAATAATCGTTAGTTGCAGCCCTAATTTATTTAATTTTTTTTGGTGCCCTGTCTTCGGCTTATTGTGACAATTTGATGATATCAGCATTTAACAGAGAGACATCTTTACTCCAGTTTGTGTTTCTATTTTTCTAATTACAAAAATAAGAACATGATCTGAAAATTAAGAAGCTCTTTCCTGGTTGTGCAATATCTGTAAGGCCAAAAATAGGAATTGCCAGTTTGTCAAATATAGTTTCAACCTTGATTCATTGTTTAAGTCCCGGCTTTGACGCTGTGCATTTAAAAGGATCTACTGGTCCAAATCATGTTAATATCAACGAGGATCACAAACTCCTTGTTTTTTGGGGTTTTTTTTTATAATGTTTCAAAGCCTCCTTTTATGTTCATTTCAAATTTAATTTAAAAATAATTTATTGACCCAAAAGTGTAACTAACCATTTTATAACTTATCACAAAAAAATTACAAAAATTAGTTTTAGATGTTGATCTCTAAAGTAGTAGATAGTTTTAGCTGTAAGCATGAAGGATCTTTTATAGCCGCCGGCCTGATGAAGTATTTTACTAAAGACAATTGTATGGAGAAAAGATGACACCTTGAGGTTTATACTTAACAGGGGGCCATATGCCCAACTCCACTACTTCCTGAATTTCTGCCAGTTCCTTTGTTTCCTGTCTTTCATTACTGGACAAACTGTTTAATTCAGGTGCATCTGAACTTAGTAAGCATGATGACATTATAATTTTTGATTAACTGCGTGTGCATTGAGACAAAAGGGTATAATTAGAGGAGTAATTCCTCCTGGCAGCAAAGGCAAAGAAGCTTAATACACAATGTATATGGATGACCTGATCCCTTTTACTTACAGAAAACAGGCAAAAGTCCACAGCTGTGTGAAAAGTTTAGTTGAGCTTCAGAAAGATAATAAAAATGAAAAAGATTATATTAATTGGAAGGAGACAAGAGAAACAAGGGGGTCAGTTGAATAAAAGAGAAATCCAGATTTTAGGAGTACAAATGAGGACATCACAGATAAAGAAAGTTACAAAGCGAAACCCCCAAAAGGTCAAGGGGAATTAAACGAGTAAGGTTTTGGTTTTAAAACCAGAAGTTATAGCTTCACTGGCTTACCTGGCAGCCAATTTAAAATAATGATGAAATTATGGAAAATAAAGTTTAATTTTCATTGGGGGAGTCAACATGAAAAAGTACAAAGAGATGTCATATGCAGACCATTGAAAAAGAGGGAGGGCAGTCCAGGCTATTTAAATTAAATTAAAGGCAATGTTTGTGTCGACTATTTTAAAAACCTGTTTGGAGAGCTCCAATCAAGCAATTGGGACATTTTTTGATAGATTTTGGGAAGGGCGTATAGCACAGGTTTCAAACTGGTTCCAGAAAGGGCCGTGTGGCTGCAGGTTCTCTTTCCAACCAAGCAATAGCACACCAGACTCCATTCAAGTCATCATGTTCATATTGGACTCTTTTGATTAGATGACTGGAGTCTGGTGTGCTATTGCTTGGATGGAAAGAAAACCTGCAGCCACTCGGCCCTTTCTGGAACCAGTTTGACACCCCTGTCCTGGAGTGTTGACAACATGGGCTAAACGTCTGAACCTAACCTCTCCCTATTTCACAAAGCAAGTTTTAAAAATCTTCAATCCTCAACTTTGAATTGATCTAGCCTACGGTTGGAAACTGAGATTTCAGTCATATAAAAGCTGCTGTGGGTTAGTTCAACCAACTTTGAGTTGGTCACTCAGAGTGGGGAATGCGTAACTCATATAAAAAGCCATTTTTAGTGGAGCCCCGAGTCAATGAGTCACCAGGGCAACAGACAACGGGAAGTTCCTAAATCCCGTCACTGGATCTAGAGAGGTAAATGCAAAAACACAAAATGGAGAATGTTTTAAAAGACAGAGCAACAGCACTCCAGTTGCAAAGGAGAGGAAGATGACGAATGAGAGGATTGCTCTATGCCAGGTCGTTTTACCATTTATTAAGAGCACTCTCCTCTCTGTTGTTTTATTTGTATCATTATCATCATTAATCATTAAAATAAATTTGATCAAGGTCAAAATTACATTCCTACTTGGAATTTCAATAACAGATTTTCTAAATCACATTTTAGAAGAAACTGATATTCAGATGTAAAAAAACAAAATAGCTTTATTAAATGCGCTGAGTTAAGCTTGACTGAATATATATTTAGGATATCTTAAATAAATTTCTTGAAAGTCAAAATAATAAAAATGATGTTTATTCTTAATCTGTGAAGAGAATTGTTATTGTAATATTCCCATTTTTGTGTTAACTGTTAAATGTTCATGTTTTTGCAATTTATTTTGAAAAAGGAAACCAATAAAACTTTTGAAAATGTCGCTTCTAATCCAAAATGACAGATTTGTTCTGCGTGTTCCCTTCTCCGGCATCGCCGTGTTTACAGGTTAGCTTGTGTCTGTTCCTAACCTCGGGGTTCCACTCACAATATGGCGGACACGGGTCGGCTCAAAGGAGAGATGACGCGTATTGTTTAACAGTTCCATGGTACATTTGGGCTTAAAGAAGTCAATCCATTATTCACCTTATAAACGTACATTTGACATGAAAGCATGCAGATGTAATATGGAAAGGGCAATTTACCAGCTTCAAGGATGTTGTGTTCCGTCTTATATTCTTTGTCCTCCTCTTTAACTGTTTCGGGAATCTCTCCTATTGCTGCACTCATGTTTGCTCTTAGCTTATCTTTCAATGTTCGTTTAACATTTACTAAACATTTGGCGCTCAGTCTTCACCCAAACTCTTAAAAAATACAGTTAAATGATTGCCTTTCTTTACTAAACAGGGAGGAACTCATCTACAGGAGAGCTCTGTCTTCTTCTACTACTCCTTCTTCTTCTGTGTTTTTGTTTCCTTTATTGGCGGTTGGTAAACAACTTTAAAGGTGCATTACCGCCACCCACTGGAAAGGAGTTTGAACCAAATGTCGACCTAAAAAATACAAACAATAGCATAAATAACTTAAAAACCAAGAACAAAAAAAGAGAATCTTTCCTTCTTTTGTATTTTAGTGCTGGTTGGCATTAAAGGACCAACCAGTACTGAGTATAAATCAAGATGGCAGGCTCTGAAAAATAGATAAATATATAAACTTCCTATATTGTTTTAAGTAATCCCAGTTAACCTGGAATAACATTGATAGAACATAATAACATAACATAAATCTATTAACATACACCCAAGTGATTTGGCCTAAAATGCTATCGCTCTTTTTCCTTTTCAAGGTTGCTTATAAATGATGTTCGTTATTTCTGATATTTTCTAAAAATAGACATTACACTCTCTATTGTTTCACCTTTTTCACAAAACTCACACTTTCCTGATCCATGTTTATATGTAAAATTGCATTTCATTCTGAATGTCCCATTCAAAATATATTTATTATTCTTTCCTGCATTATTTTCCAACAGATTCATATCAATTTCATTCTGCTTTCTTTAGCCCTCTTCTCAGCCTTTTTATTTCCTTTAACTCTCATGTGAGAAGATACCCAAAGAAAGAAACAAAGAAACTACTAAATCCATCATCTAGATTCTAGAAAAAAGAAAGACTCCAGTCTGTCCATAAGACAAATTTTTATCACATTGCTCCCACCTTCTGAATAGAGGTGGTCCAGTATTTTCAAATGAAGTGTTAGGTTTATTCTTTATACATGATGTGCATTGTTACTTTGTTAACCAGATTAGACAGAGTAGAAGGCCTTCCTTCACATGGTGGATGTCACTGTGTGTACGGAGGTCATCTAATCAGGACAGCCTTCGTGTCTACACAGGATATGGGCACATCTTGGAGACGGACTGATAAAGGAGCGCCATGTGTAATCCTGCGGTAAAGAGGCAAGATACATAAAGGTCAAGGCATGGATGGCGTGTCAGTTTCTGATACGGACAGCTAACCATCCACCTGATGCAAAACATGGACTCATGAGGAATAGGAAGGAGGGAATGACCTTGTTCGGGGCTCAATCTTTCCCCCGAAATTAGATTTCAGAAGAAACAAGAACAAGCTGAAACCTATTAACATCATGGGAGAAAAAGTCTGGAACACAACTGTTAACCTTGTACAAGAAGGGGCAGAGCAGACTGTAGCTTCTCTGGAAGTTTTTGTCCTTCTGCATTTAATGCACAATGCTACGTATCTTCCAAAGGTCTGTCGTGGAGAGTGTGATCTTTCATCCTCTGGTGACGTAAGGGAGCTAATGTCTTAAAAACAACAAGCTAATTAATAAGGTCAGCTCTGTTCTAGGAACACCTCTAGAACCTCTGGAGATTATTTCACAAAGAAGAATTCTTCATAAAGTGAAGAACATTATGGACAACTGTGACAATCCTCTTCAGAAGATTTGTAAACAACAGCAGAGTGTTTTTAGTCAGAGGCTTCTCCAGATCTGGTGGAAGACAGGCCACTATAGAAGATCCTTCCTGCCTACAGCTATCAATAACTGCAACACAGCTTAAAAAAAATAATGTTTGAGTTACTGCAACATTTAATTTCTCCTTGGGATTAATGAAGTATCTTTTAATAGAATTTACTTAAGAAAAAAGGACAGGTTCTACACTGTACTTAAGTACAAAAGTAAAGTTTTCTGCTTAAAGGTTAAAAAATTACTTTAAAAAATAACATTTTCAAAAACTGTTTTATGTACATACAGTTGGTTAATTTTTCAATTTTGCTCACTGTGTCGGTGGAGAACATGTAAAATACTGAATCGGTCTACTTCTGTTTTTTTAAATTTCAAACAGCATCACTTAGATATAAGGTTGGGTGTATCAGGAAATGATTACTTTTTGAGATCTGGTATTCAGCCCAATTGAAATACATATTAAGACACAATAAACGTGTATATTTAAAATCTAAAAAGGAGGACAGATGGGAAATGTGTTGCATCTCAATGTCTCTTGGCTTCTTGTCTTCATCCATGTCACCATCAGTTGTTTTTCTATAAACAAACTGCTCCAAATGGACAGATTCTCTTCATGCTCTTGATTTTTCCTGTTTTTTTCCAGCTGTTACATCGTGTCATTAATAATTAGGGATGCACAGATCCACATTTCCTTTTCTTTCTGATTCAAATACTTTAGAGATCTACAAATTCCAACACTCTCCTACTAGAGCTTTGTTTGTTTTGGCATTATCATTATGGGTGCCAGTTTTTTAAGAGGTTGTCATAACCTACCTACAAGCAAGAATAATATGCATGAATGCAACTTGAGATTAGTGTAAACCTTCACTGAAGAAGCAATAAGCATTCAGTCTATTTGCTAATTTTTTATTTTTTTTCTCCACGTCAGTGGGGTGTCAGCTTCACGCAGCTGAAGTTCCTCTTATTCGATGATGTGGTCCAGGTTGTATACAGAGTATATCTTAAATGCAGAGCTGTGAACTACCTGCGGAGCTAATGTAAATCACTGCGTCCACCACGTGCTTCTAACTGCACCGTTAGAATGCAAAGGAAGCAGACTGCGCTTAACTCTTAAAGTTTGAAAAATATTGTCCCTTTCTAACAGGTCAGATACTCAGTGGCATCTCCCTCATATCTAGGGGGGGTTGGGCATTATAATTGTTACAAAGAGATTATCTTCATCTTTTCTTCACATAGTCAATTAACACAGTCAGGATCAGCAACACTTTATTTTTTGTAATATGTAATAAACATGCATTTCTATATACAACTCTGATCACTTTATTTCTTTTGGTAATTTCATTGAGTTAATACAGTAAAGTCAGAACAAAATCATTGTTCTGTAAGAGATTAGTACACATAAAAGATAATAGAGAGAATCAACATATGGCTCTCAGTAAGACTTAATAACCTCTGAAACTTCAGGGTGTCAATACTTTATGATTTAAAGGTATAGTGGAGGATGTTCTTTTTCCAGGTGGATCATCAAAATAATTGGTCCTCCTAATTGTCTATCATTCTGGAGATATTTTTATGTAAGACCATCCTATGTGCTTGTCCCGTTTCACTTGCCGGTGGTGAGCCTGACATAGTGGAAAATTTGCAAATCTTCTTTTGGAAAGTAAGCTTGTGTGAACGATGCAAGCAGCTATTTTTAAACAGAGCGTGCACAAGGAGAAACGGTCTTAACTTAAAGTGGCTTTATTGTGTATTCATAGCTTTTTTTTTTCTTCCTCTGTGGGTTTTCATGTGTTGCTTCAAACTTGAGCTTACAGTAAATCTTGTCCCACAAAGATCACAGCAGAAAGGTTTATGTCCTGTGTGGATCCTCATGTGTGTACTTAGATTTCCCCTTTCAGTAAATCTTTTTCCACATATATCACATGGGAAAGGTCGCTGTCCAGTGTGGACTCTACTGTGCGTCTCTAAATGTATTTTTTGACTAAATCTTTTTCCACAGTGAAGACAGCAGAAAGGTTTCTGTCCCGTGTGGGTCATCATATGTTTGGTTAAGTTTGATTTTTCATTAAATCTTTGTCCACAGAGATCACAAGAGAAAGGCTTCTGTCCTGTGTGGATTCTTGAGTGCGAGTTCAAAAGTGTTTTTCGACTAAAACTTTGTCCACATAAATTGCAAGAGAATGGTTTCTGTCCTGTGTGGATTTTTGTGTGTCTTGTTAAACTGGCTTTTAAGCCAAACCTTTGTCCACACAGATCACAACAGAAAAGTTTCTGTCCAGAATGGCTTATCATGTGTATTTTCAAAGCTGATTTTTCAATGAACCTTTTTCCACATAGCTCACAAGAAAAAGGTTTTTCTTGTAAATGGATTTTTATGTGTTTGGTTAAATATCCCTTGACACTAAAACTTTGTCCACATAGATCACAGCAATAGGGTTTATGTCCTGTGTGGATTTTCATATGTGTATTAAAATTTGGCTTTGCGCTAAATATTTTCCCACATACATCACAGGTGTAGGGTTTTTGTCCAGCGTGGAGCTTCTTATGTCTGTTTAAACCTCGTTTTGATGTCAATAATTTACCACAGTCATCACAGCTAAACTTTAATCCTGGCTGGACTTTCCTTTGTGAGCCTTCATTTGGTAAGCTCGGAGACTCTATATCTGAATTGATTGAGTTGTTCTGAACAAAGGGATGAAAAAAATGTTCAGCAAACATAGAGGAACTATATGGTTTGTTAATATTTTCAGCCAAAGTCAATGACTTCCAGTCATTGTCCATGTCCTTAGTTTTTAGCCCAAAGTCTGACAAGTGTTTCAGCTCAGAGACTGAAGGTTTTATATCATTGTTCTCATCCTCTATAGTGTCTTCAGTCTTTAAGTAAATGGAACCATCTGGAGTCCCTCTGACTTTAAACTGGTCTGGATAGAGCCGAGGGGAATGGTTATCATTCACACCGTCATTGAGAGAAGCAGTCACTGGAAAGCTGGTGGCTTCCATCTCCTCCTTTGCATTGAGCTGCTCTCCCCCCAGACTGACGTAGATTTCTTCCTGTTCCTCCTTTATGTGTTCAGGCTTTGGGTCATTCAGGTGAGCATATGGTCTGTAGTCCACAGTTTCCTCTTCTTTAACAATCACCACCTGCTTAACATCTGCAGAAAACATTGAAAAGCATAATGCATATTAGAAAGTAAGGCACTTAAACAGAAAAAATGTTCTTCAACTATAATTACTTCTCTAATGTTCATGTTTTGTTTCCCGACTCCTTACATTTTTTTCTTAAATTACCACATATCCAGTGTCTGATGCTGTCTGAACTTATAAACACAGATAACACATTTTATTATTGTACTTCGCTTATTCAGACTTCAGTGCAGTGCAAGACTAAAGGGCTGGTTATACTCCTGCAGCAGCGTGTTGTAGTGAGCTTGACGCAGACATTTTTGATTTATGCTAAATTTTGAGCATTGT